ACATGTCCCTACATGAGAATGAGAGACGAGAATTTGAGAAGTATGATAGAAAACTTAAATGATCAATAACAAAGCCACTGGCGCCATCTGTTGAACAAAATATGAACAAAAAGTAGCTAGGAAATAATTTTTGAAAGAGGGTTTAACACTGAGATCACCAAATAGAACTGAAAGATTTTTGTAGTTGAGAAACTCTTTTGGGAAATCTAATTCGTCAACGGGAGACAGTTTTTGAATTTTGAATAATTTTGGCTCCATAAAAACGGAAAATGTTATTTTTTTATTAGGAGTTCTGAACAATGGTGGATTTATGAGTCTCCCCCCCCGATAAAAAACATAATTCTTATGCTCTTTAGTCCGAAACTTCAAGGTTTTTGTTTTCTGTTTAATCAATATATATAAGTCGCACTGGCAGGGAATAATGCACATATTCCAAAAGTTCATATCTGAAATCATTAAACACCTCAAAAGCCTTGGCGAAAGCTTCCTGAACAGAAGCACTTGCTCACTGCTCCGTGTTTTCAAAGCACTTGTTCGTTGTAGTCTGGATTATGGCTGAGTTGTTTATGGATCAGCAAGGCCTTCTTTTTTACTGAAGCTAGATCTCTGTTCACCATCGGGATCTGCGAATTTGTTCCAGAGGATTCAGGACATTTCCTGTTCGCAGTCTATATGCGTACTGCTTCGAACCGTAGCTCCACTTCAGACTTAAGCAGATGTCTCTCTCCCATTATTTCAATACATCTTCACAGCCTTACCAACCTAGTTGTCTCCCGGTGCTTGATGACTTCTATAACATATTGTTTGCAACACGACCCCTTTGTGTGCCTCCGTTTCTCGAAAGTGCATCTCGAGAGTGAAGCATCTAGAAATTCCGCTTTAAAAGGTACAAATTCATCTTCTGGCTATTTTTCACAGTTGGGATAAGATAAATGCTACCAAGATCATGTACAAACAGCTTTTTGTCGATCACGCAAATAAATACAGTAATTATATTTTTTATATACAGATGGATCAATATTCGATAGACAAATTGGATCATCATTTGTTATTGAATATTATAAGGTAAGTAAACGAGTAGTGGATACGTGTCTTGTTCTGTGCTCACTTCGGAATTAGCTACCAGTGAATTTATTAGGCCCTTCTTTTCTTACTTAACTTTTTCGCATCGAATTTCTCTTTTACTCAAACATCGAAAATACCCGTATATACGAATTTCTGTTGGAATGCTTTTCCTTCTCCCATGACAAATAGAATACTACAACACTAACAATAACCTACTTAAGTAAAGTGGCAATTTTTTCTTGGACGCTTTCACCCTGTGTGAAATTCCCCCTTTTGAAGGGACTGCAATTTCAGGCATCAATAGCTAAACATTGACAGTAAGCAAAGGAAAAAGAAGGCGCATTAAAATAACAGAACTACTTTTAGTTGCTTGAAACGAATATTTGGCATGTCATTTAACAACTCTTGAAAGCAATGAGCAAAGCAGTAACGTGATGGGGAAAGTACTAGGTAGGAAATATTCAGGCAGTCGGGCGACCTGCCGTTGTCTGAATGCTCGGGCGTTTGGGGCGACTTCGATGTGAAAGAGTTAAGCTATTCCAGAAAAACTTTCTACATTATACCGATTCATATTATTTGCTAAAATCATTAGAAAATTCTTGTGACACATGAAATCCGTTAGTTGTGGATGTGAAATTAAAGTTCAATTTAAAGGCTCATGGATACACAATTCCTTATTGTTGGATGCCTGGACATATGAGGATAAAGGGCAACGAATGGCGGATATCACATCAATGTTTGCTGTGGGTCTGTAAAGTGGTCTTGTCCCGTTTAATGATATCAGCACGATTATTAAATTTCAGATTTTAAGTAAATGGCAAACATCTTTGGATGGTTAGTTAAATAATAATGTAAAACCGGTAGTAGAAGATTAGGAGGCAAATAGGAATCGAAAGGAGGAGGTTTTGGGTTAACTCGTTTCATAATTGGCACTCCCAAATTCCTCATAGTTGCCTTCTTAAGTGAGCCAGGATGTCCTAATTGTGATAATGTTCTGTTCGTACGTCAGTTTTTAATAGAGTGTTCTAATTTTAACATATTGCATTTGTAGCCTTTTAATAAGTGGGACTTGTCTCTTGATCGATTAATAGGTAAAGAAGTTAATACTATTTTTTTTTCAGTTCCTATAACAGACGAGTATTTACTATTTAATTTGATTTAGTTTCGAAATTGTGCAGTTATATTTTAATGTGTCTCGCGTTTTTGACTTTATCCTTGTTGTTCATGAAAATTATTATCTGACTTTTTATATATTTGTTCAAATCTACATTCATGATTTTATATATTAATTTGATTTTTAAGTCAGACCTTTTTTAAACTTGTATTTAAACTATTAAGTTGTTATTTTAACATATTTAACATGTGTTTGGTGCATATAACCCTTCAGGTTATTGCGTCGTTGAATCTTGCGTCGTTGAATCCACTACTATCGCCATATCTGATATCATGCCCTAAGTATTGAATTGCAAATTTTATCGGTAGAAAAAAGAAAATGGCTCGAAATTAAATTTATATAGATTATCTTTGTTAACTAATCGAATATAATTACTTAAATTACTAAATTATGTAAAAGATAATTACTAAATTCCTATAAAAGCTGAAAATAACAAAAAAAGTTTTTTGCGTTAAGTTGAAAATTTTACCGTTTAGTCAATGATATAAAGTGGGAAATTTTTGTTAATAGCAACTGGTTTAAATAGTTGGGCTCCTGATCAAAAGCTAACTTGGAGAAGCAACTTTGAGTGCACAGAAAATGAAATAATAAACTGAAACCGACTTGCGGAATGACAAGATTCTAAGTGGAACGAAAAGCAAACTGATTAAGGTTTACGTTACACAGGAGTGCTGAAGTGAAATTTATTAAGTACGACCAGGACAACAAGGAATGGAAAGGAATCGGATATGAAGTTCAATGGAGAGCGGAATAGCATTACCAGTGGAGTTTGCGATTGAACTTATCAAAACCTTCTTTATAACCATCAAACAGAACAAAAATATCATCTGCGTAGTGGAATAAAGGGAATAGTTTAATATTTTAAGTAATTTGGATTTCTTATAAATCATTAAAAGGACTGATAGTGCTTACACTGAATAAACCTTCAGTATGGCGGTAATAATTAGTTTGGAAAACAAGAAGTTGTTGTGACAGAGTTTGAAATGATCAGTTTCGTTACATGTGAAATGAAATTTCTGGAGATTCGTTTTCAGTCATTTAAATGTCCTTCTACTGAAATAATGAATAATGATTTTATATCAAATGAAACAAATGAGGATATTAGGAGAAATAATTTTATAATTTATTATGATATTCTTAGTGAGTGTTTTACGGTGTAAATATTGTTGACGAGTAAAAGAGAAAAATGTAAAAATAAAATTTTAGCTAATATGAGGCAGTGTCTGGATTTAAAATAATCGAAAGAAATAGAACATCTGTTCTTGGAGTCTTGGAGAAAGCATATAATCTGATTTAACTTGTAATTGGTGGGATAAGCGATTCTACAAGCGAGACAGAAAGAAATGTGAAAATTCAATTTCAGTGTATATATCTGAGAAGAAGAGAGGTCTTTAGATTTCACATTATATGGACCTTCATTTAAGAGTTTCGCTGTGCCTTTTTTTGTGTCTTTTTTTTCCATGACAACTATCTGACCATCTCTGTCGGTCTTCCAAGTGTTTATTTGTTTTCCATACCGGTATCGAGAGAATCTAAAATTGCTGATTGATAGCATACGAACTACTTACAAAAACTGCGGCGAAGATAAAAAAATCTTACGATTTGGTGACAAAATGGAATGAAATATTTAATACAGTTTTCGCATTAACAGAATAGACTTGCTGATCAGTTAATCGTCTTTATTAGTTTATTATTGAGTAGTATGATTAAAACTTTGAATTTTCTGATTTATGATTCATATCTCAAATGACAGTCTTAAATTCGGCCTGATTATACAATACAATTAAAAAAAACGGAAATGAGTGGCAATTTAATCCTTTCGCAAGAGTGATTCAGGGATATTTAAGGATAAGCGAATCATTTGAAAATTACCAAATTTGTTTTCAGATGAGAATATCTAAGGTTTGCAGATTATTTAAAATAGCTAAGAATTTTTTTTTAATCTAGGAAACAAAGGTGCATAATATCAATATAAGTTACAGTTTGGTTTGGTTTCTTCGATTACGCCAAAGCAATCGAGGGCTATCTGCCTAAAGTGAGGGTTGCCTTCGTGAAGGACTTTCTAAGGAAAACTGGCTCGTATATACGTTACACATGGAGAAAACAACGAAAACACCCATTAGCGGGATTCGAAGTTCAGATCGAACTACCAATGATCAGCGATTATACCGCTGGAGGGCCTCAATATCAGTTAAGAAGTTAGGTTTCAACATCTATACTTAAGAATACCTAAGACTTCCTAAACAATTTTTTTGTACAGCAAAAATTTTAATTTACGAAACTATATATATTTGCGGTATTTGAATGTTAATAAGTAGACGGTAGTACAGTGCCAAAAATACCATCAAGACTGCACTCTTCTTCGAGCTTTGCAGCAGCTCGGCAATGTATCACTAAGGACCAGATAATAAATGGGTACCACTTCTATATAATACTGAATTTAAAAGAAATCGCCTTCCCATTTTTTACTTTGGCTAAATAACAATAAAAAAGAATATACAAGCATTCTTTAAAACTAAATTAAGATTTTCAGGAAAAAAATTAATTAGGCAGTTGTTTTTTGTTATTTTTATTATATCTTCAATAGTTTTGGTACAGCACAATAATTCGGTATTACTTTGTGAAACATCTGATTCCGTAAAGTAAAGTTATAAGTGATTAAAATTAAAAACGATAAATATAATGCTATAATGCACTATGACGGAAAAATTAAGTATTAGTAAGATCATAATTGCAGAGATTTTAAAATTGCAAAACTTACTCGTTTCTTCAGTTTCTCTGAAAGGAAAGGGTGCACTAGTGTCCAAGCTGCTTTGAAGGTAAGAGACATATTTATGACGTGAATTCCCTTGAATCTTCCGGGAAAGCATTCCTGAAATTCAGAATTACGTAAAGTTATTTTTTTTCCAGTTCATAACGTAGCGTCAATTTATTGAATTATTAAAATTTTTATCAAAAATATCATGTATTCCATTTTGTGTAATTGCTCATCTGAAGCGTTTCAAAATTCGTTTAACTATCTAATGTTCTACTACTGATAAATTTCAAGTAACAGTAATTTATTTCTTTGAATAGTTTTAACCGCTTATTTTTTTTTATGTGGAAATTAAAAACACTTTTTTTAATGTTCTCTGTATAGACTCTTTGCTTACAATTTTTTAATCTTGTTTAATATGGAAAGCTTTCTTATAAGACAACACAAATGAGTATATACTTTGAAGGTAATTGACAACCTGCTTAATTTATGTTTAAAGATAATTATATTATTTAAATAACATGCATTGCAGGAGATGCTGAGTAAATATGTTTCTTTAAAGTCTAAAAGTTGAGAGAGGAGAGAGAAATTTAATACCTTTTTAAACCGCGCATACACAAAATGTAATTTTAGAACGTCTTTTTAAATAAAAATTTCATATTTTGTTAATAAAATTTATATTTGATGCAATACAAAAGTTAAAATATAGTTAAATTTCCAAATTAAAAAATATGTTTTCTGGATTGCATATTAATTTTAATTAATCTTTTAACTTTCTGAATTTGATAAATAACAGAATCGTTAAATACATATTAGAAAACCTTTTCAATCATCATTACACATTTTAGATTGAAATTTTTATAACTACAAGCAAAATTTTCACATATATATAAGTACAAGAAAATATGAACACCATTATTCTATAAAATATAATCCAATTTACATTGCAATAGTAAATTAATTCTGTCCCAAAAATATTAAATGACATCAAGTTAAAGTACAGTAGTAATAACGACCCATATAAAAATTCGAAAGATTCAAGAGAATTCCTACACTTTAGATAATTAGCTATCATCTAATAAATATGATTACGAAACGAATAATAAAAAATAAAAGATTCCAGCATTTTTATAATTTATTTCAAGGAAGTTAGTGATTGATGACATTCCTTTTGTTGATCAAAATTTCACCTAAAAATTAATTATTTAAGATTAAAAATATCATGATAATCTCTTTATAATGAAAAAACACAATGAAATAATAATTTCTCCGTTAAATATTAGTATGACTTCTAGGCAGTATATCGAAAACATGAAGAAAGTTTTCATAGTACTGAGAACAGAAGTTCTTGGAGGACTAAAATTAAAACCAAGAGGTAATGAACGTTCTGAAAGCGGTTTACAATGTAAACGGATTGCGTTAGTTAAAATTTAAGAAAAACCTGGAGCATTATGTAATGAAATTGTTTTTAAGAACGCTACATTAGCAAGCCATTCTTTGTCTCCACAGCACATTAAATATGCCTGAACTGGGTCCAAAATACAAGAAGTAATATGAAAATATAGAGAAGGAGATCGTTTTTTTCAATCGAAAATACATATGTTATGATGAAAACGTGAGATTACGCGAAGAAAGTCTCATAAAAATAACATCACATTCTTTGTTTATAAGCATGTTGTTGCAATTAGAATTTGAAACTGTATATCACTGAGAGATGATAATTTACATGAATGCTATTTGTAAACAGTGAAACCTTTCAAACTTAAAGCAGTATTAAAAGTATTAACATAAATGTAACTGAGTGAATCTCAAAGCATTTTAGATCGTCAATCCTACGAAAAAATTCTAGGATGTTTGTGAATAAAATTAACTATAAAGGCCTTTAAGTGGATATTAAAATCATCTATGTTTACATCATAATAAAAATGTTAAAATCATCTGTGTTTACAAAATTGTAATAAAAATTATCTACATTTATATTTAAACAAAATTACATCAAAAGAATTGTAAAGATTTAATATTTTCAAAGCAAAAATGAATTCTTGTTTTCTTTGCAGAAGGTGGCTCAATTAAGCATTAATGTAACGGTCTGAATGTAAACATTAATGTAATGGTCTGAATGTAAATGCAACATCCTTAAAACCTTACTGGACGACGAACATATATATTATAAAATCAAATTTTCTTGTATTTTAAAATTTTTTTATTATTGTAATGATGGTCACTAATAATAAGTAAAAATATGTGAAACAAACTCATGAATCAACTTGAATTCAAAATTTGTAATACTCTTAACACTTTAGTCGGCGAGGTTTATTTATGAAATATTTCTTCTATTCATTTAAATATACAGCAAGCAGAATAAGCAGTCGCAGACATACTTCGAGTACTTTGCTTACCTGAGTACCATTGTAAAGGAGGTAAATGTTGTGTGGCGTACAAAACCGAAGGTGCTTCAGAGGATGGCTTCTGACGTCCAGAATTACTTTGTAGCCGTTGACTTGGGTTAGTGGATCGCATATGGAATGGTAAAGGAAAAGTACAATGGCTCTGCTAAGCTCTTCAATGGGTACTTCGGAGGGGCTCCATTTATCTGTAACCCAGTAAAGAAAAGTTAATAATTTGAAAACTCAAGAACTTTTAAGCTGCTTTGATGTAGCTTTCACATCATGAATTCATATGATTAGATAAAAAATAAGTTTACAAACATCATGCAAAATGTTACGTATTTATGACATTTTGGATCCTATTAGATGTTTAAAATCAACGCAATTTACATTTAAACAATGTCACATTTAACAAGAAGCCTTTTATTTAAATTTAATAGTTATGTTATTTTAGCCTTACATTTTTAGACTGAGGTTTTAAATATAACGTATATTATACATATTAATATTTAACATTTATAAAATTAAAGTTAACATTTAAAGTATATTTAACTTTTAAAGTTACATAAAAATGCAAAAGCGAATAAATGTTAAGCAATTAAATATTTTGTGACATAAGTGCCAGAAGACTTGAAACATGTAAGGACATGTTTTCACATTTGAAATATTGTGGGGTATTGCATTTATGCACGAACGGGAAATAATAAGCACTATCGTTGTTTTATATAATTTGATCTGACTGTGTGGCACATTAAATTTCTACTGTGGAGGCTGGGTATTACGATGCTATACTTTACAACAGAAGTATATCGTAGGATGAAAATTGCAAAAAATACCTCAGACAATAAATTTCCTTTAATTTTTCTGAGTTCAGATCATTTGCTAACTTATCATATTTACATATGGCAGTTACAAATTTAAAACGTACGATATATAGCTGCGATATATACAATAAAATCCTTCTACCTCAACTTATTCTCAGCGGAACATGCATATTTATGAAGCTTTAATAAGTTATTAGATCATTTAAGTTACATATAATTTCCCGTGAACATCTTTCACTTAAAAATTTAAGATCAACTTAAAATCGATGTAATCCTGCAAATGAAAGACAAACCTACAGCATTATTCAATCAAAAGTGATCAGACGATTTCTGATATGCAAATCAAGGCGTTACGTCATTTGACGTCAATCAAGTGCTTTCGGAAAAATGAATATTTGAGTGAATTTGTGTGTGTAAGGAACCAAGAAACGGTTTATTACGGCTCTTAAGTAATCATTTAGAAGACCTGTGAAGTGGTGAATCATTGGGCGTTTAAAACGGTAGCGAGAATTATTAGCCGTTGAGAAAGGAATTTCTTAGGGCAGACAATCATAGAAGCAGTGAGCGAGATGTGTAGATATTTTAAGACTGACCTTCTCTACGGTATCAAAATTTCAAGAACTGTTATAAGGAAACCTAGAGGAGGACGTAAGTGAATAAAATAACAACTTCTTCTCAAGATTGATACCTGGCAATAACTGGCGGTCGTAACAGGTTGTCTGCTGCTCGGCAATTCATTTGAGAGTTTACAGCCGCCACTGGAAATGTATCAGAGCAAACTGCATACAGAAGGCTTAATAAAAAAAAATGCCTTTATCTTAGGAAGCCAAGGAGTTATCAGGAATATCCAAAATAGGAATCTATGAATATCCAGAATCGACTGTTTTTACAACAAAAGCGAGATCGCTTTAATTGGTTCAAAGAACACCAGAATTGACAATGGTCTCTTGTTCTGTTTACTAATGAGTCTAGGTTTATTTTAACACCTTATTCTAAACGCACTTGAATCTGGAAGGAACCATACATATATATTTCTATTTTAGTTTTATCAATATTCTCATGTATGTAACATTGTTTCATAAAGCAAAATGATTCTGGCCGTCCAACCGGTATAGTGGTTAGCGTCACTGACTTGCCGTGCCGAAGGGCTCGAGCTCGAATCTCGAAGAAGGCATGAATGTTTGTAAATGTATAGTGTCGGTGCGGCATGGCAGCACCGAATGCATCAATTTGCAGCATTTTAAATTGGCATTTAAAAATTAGTTGAAATTCTGCCAAAATCCGTATGTAGCAAATGTGTAAATATAAAAAATGAGAAACATTGCAAAGGGCCGTATATTTTTTTCATCAAAGTTTTAAAAAATTCACATTTGTTTACGCATTTGCATTTGTCAAGAATAAGAAATGTATAATAGGATATAATAGATAATAACCAGAAATGGAAAAAAGATTTATAATGTCAGCATAGCTTTCAATATTTGTATATTCCTTGCTCATGTATTACAAACTTTTAGGCATATGAGTAAAGTTCTGGTTGACTCTTAATTTATGCAATTAATACCTTACATAAGGAAAAGCCCGTTATGTTTGCACTCAAATATTAATAAAAACAGATACGCGCACATCAAAGAACACCTCATAGTTTTATAGAATATTAATCAGTTTAAACAAAAGATTTTTAAAATATATGCAAAATTCATTTGAATATTATTTACGCAAGACAAATGCATTCGAACAGGTAATAAGAATAAGCAACAGAAAAATTATGAAACAGAACATTATTAAAAAAATTAACTAAGGACTATCAGTTTACAGAAACAGAAGTGCAGATAAATTTATCATCGTTGATATTTATATCTTTATATTTAAAAACATGTTCTGAAGCCCAGGATTTTAATAACAAAGGTCGACATTGAACTTGAATTATGCAATATGATCAACTGAAAGAGATATGCTGATAAGATTTCTATAATTCTTACATTCCAGAAAGTCGTCACGGATGTTTATATAGATTAATCTCAAACATCTACTTTACCACAAACCAGTGCGATTATTGTACGCGTCATTAGATTATGAGCAAGAAGCATACGAGTAATTATCTACTTGATCGTAGTTAATTAATCCAATGAATATTAAATCACATTCTTCTGTTCTAAATTTTTTTTTCCGAATTTAAAGTTCATGATATTTGTAAAAATAAATTTCCATTTGCAGAATTTTGAATTATGTTTTAAGCTGTCAACTGTTAAAAAAACTTCGCCTTGGTTCGTCAACCAAACCGAAAATAATTTGGTCGTTATTTCAGAATAAGTTATTTGAGAATACGTTTCTTTGAATTACCAATCCTTATTCTGTAGAGATACAGGCACATTTTTAATCATAATTTTAGCCCTGCTCCTTTATAGGATATTTGCAGCAAGACTGCTGCTTACTAAATTCAGTCTATTTCATTCTTCAAGCTAAGCTATGGTCATATCAGCAGTTTAATTATGTGTTAAGTTTCAGAGTGTTTTTTATAGGTGTTTAAGTTGTGGTCTCAAACTGGCAGTCTGCATGCGTCTTTGAAGCAATTTTATGCTGCCCGCGAATATACTCGTACTTTAAAACGTATTTGTAGCAAATATGGTGCTCATTGTTTTTCAGATACAAAGATCTAGATTGAGCTTCTAATCGCGATTGCTGTTGAAGGGGGAAAATAGAATGAATAGGTTCGTCCTTTCTCTGTGTCACTGTAAGCTTGTACACAAGGTTACGTGACTAGGATACGGTAGTATTATAGGATAAGGTAAAGCTATGTAAGTACAGTCAGTAAATTTAGTTTGCCGGCAGATGATAGCGCTTAAGTATTCTTATGTTTCCGATTTTCTGGCTTAGGCTTAAATTAAGCTACTTAGTGGTTGATTCAGTATATTAGAGTTACCTTAAATTAATGTCAGTCTAAAATTTAGCATTTAGATGCCAATACGTTTGAAGTATAACCAAAGGAAATTTCTTGCAGGTGCCAGTCTTTAGAATAAAAAATAAATTATTAATATGAATTTTTTTCTTTATTATTGCTATTGTTTATATACGTTTTGATAAGTATTTTTAGCAGAGGAAATTAAAAATTGTTTTCAAAATTTTGCTTTATTAAAAAGTTCTTTAATTCAGAAAAAAAAATGTTCTGGCCCATAAGATACTTTCAGATTCGGCATACAGTCCTCATGTAATTTCAGTTTGAGACCACGGGTTTAAGAAATGCGGAATCTGCTTAAAATTTCTAGTGTTTTTGCTTCTATTAATGTTTCACTGCAATTATTATTATAATGCACCAAATGTGTTGTTAATTGTTAAATTATAGTAAATGATCTGATGTTCCCATGATCATTAATATCAGCTTCCCTTCCTTTACTGCACTTTCTTATCAGTAGGGGGAAGGTACTCGCATTACTGTTACTAGATGTATTTCAACATACTAAAGCCTTACCTAGGTGCACTGCCAGTACTGCGCAACCATCTGGACACCTGTAGGGCAGGAATCCCATCATTTTCTTGCTTATGAGTTTCAGAAGCATGTCGTAATTCATACCAGTGAATATTGCGACATTTTTCCTCTTGAAGTTCATGTATTTCTTCAAGAGGTTGAAAGCTTTTGGTACATTATATTTTCTGGCCCTCAGAAACTGTAGTAGAAATTCATCGGTGGTACGACACGAAAGGTCTTTATCACCTATTTTAATGAAAGTCAATTAGAAAATGTTTAGAGGTAGAAATATAATTAAAAAATTATTACTAACTTCGGAACTTTAAGGTTTGTTACAGTTTATAAAATCAGTCTTCTTCTAAGTGCACAAATTAAAAAATTAAGCCGATATATGTCATATTCCTGATAGAAATTAGTTGCATTTTTATTATAAATATTTGAATTACAAATATTTGAATAGAAATACATTTTTAAAATCGAGCATTGTTTCAATTTAAGCATATAAATTATTTATATATTACTTCAGCTGAATGTGTGATTGATCTTGAACTCGTAATTAACACTTATTGCGTCAAACATATGTCAACAATAACGATATGTGAAAACGTTTTGAATGAATTAATGACAATGATACTTGAAAACACATTTTAATACGTACGTAACACTTAAGTTCTTAAGCATAAATGTATTGAGAACTACGAAATAATTTTTATTTGAAGATCTAATTAGATCCTTAGGGACTGCATACTGTACGTTTTGCAGCAATATTTGCATTAATGTGTTTTATTATGTTTTTAATAGCTTTAAAATTAATGAAGAATTTTTTTTTTATTTTCTGTCAACTTGAGACAAACTTCAACTTTCTTACAAAAAGTAAATAATTCCAAATTCGCTCGAAGAATATCAATGCAGAAAACATTTTCATGCAATAATCCTAATTAAACCGTTTCTTCCAAGATAAAAAAAAAATTATTGCTTCTTGATTTCCTTCATTTAAACCAAAAAACATAATGAAATTCTAGCGGTATTTGGAAATATTTAGTTAATAACTCACTAACAATTTCAATTATAAATCACGAATTTTATACAGCAAATCTAATCATTCGCAAGTAAATTCTCGCAAAGAGAGAGTTATTAAAAATTAAAAATAAAATTATAACTATTATTTAAAAGTTTATTTACTTATTTTACGAAAATTGAAAATTTCTAAGTCACTTGAAAACCATTACCGAGGTGTCTTGTTAACAAAATTAATTTTTTTCATTAAAGATACTTAGAAGAGCTCGATGTAAACATGCCTATCATTCGTCTTTTCATGCCCGCATTTGACTTCTCTTAAACATCAGGTTATATAACTTTTGAAGGCCAAATGAATTGTATCTTTTTACTTTTATTAAAAAAGAAGGCAAAGACATTTTTCAAATAAGAGTATCTACTCAAAAAATATATAACATGATTTATTTCAAAATGTTAAGAGAAAGTAGATCAAAGGGGAATAATTTACTAGTTAAAAAAATATTCTAATCGAAGGCTAAAGAATGAGGTAGATTTTTTTGTTGATTCATGCAAGTTCTGAAATCATGATAATGAATATTAAAATCGCTTATCTTCTATAAAAGATACAAGAATGATAGAAAGATACAAGAATGACAGAAATGTGTTATCTTCAAATCAACAGAGACATGAATCCAGATACATTTCATAAACTAAAGAAACTCAGGTAGACAATTTAAAGCTTTTAGCTTCTAAAAGACTTTTTTTTAAACAGGCAAGAAAGTATTGAGCATACATTCTTTGACACAAATCTACTTCCGTTCAGTAACCCATCTTCTTCCTTGATGGGAAAGTACAAATGTTTGCTTCAGGCATTGGAAAACCTGATACTGGTCTAGTTATGGGTATAGGTAAAAAGCAACTTGCTTAATAATTTGCGTGAATGCACTCAATGCAGGTCATTTACTGTCCCTCTGTCTTCTTTTTCATTTTGTGGGTCTCTAAACTTCTTGAACACGTGAGTCTGTCCACACGTGCAGAAGAACCTAGGCTAGTTCTACGAAACTCGGCAAGTAAACATAACCGGTCACACGTGTTGGGAAATCTTGACATATAATTCCCTTATAAAAGAGTTATAAAAATGTCAATAACCGTACTTCTATGTGGTAATAGTTCCCTCTGAACGATTTACACGTTTAACCTGCTGGTGCATAATAACAACTAATTATTTGAAATTAATTTTGGAGAAACGCAGATCATGAACACGAAATTTATTTATCAAATTAAACTGATAGTATAACAATTTGCTTGGCATGGTTAATTCTATGTCAGTTAAATAATGATTACTAAACACTTTTTTATCTTTATCAATTACATTTAAAAATCAGTTATATGCTGGACTTACTTAAAACAAGCTCACGTAATTGTTGCAGGCCAACCTCCCTGCTTTCCTGAGTTTCTTTGAGTTCGTCTTCAGCCTTTTTTACAAATTTCTCTGGCAAGAAGAAGGCTTCAAAAGGATATAACCCATCTTTGGATTTAGTTGCGATAACCATTTTGAATATGTGCTATCCGA